TAAGTTTTTTGAAGGAGGTCTATAAAGACTTTCTTATACACTAGTGATTTAGGAAAAAAATATAAAGAGCAGTTACTTCATTTAAAGATATTTTTAAGATATGCTTATTAAATATTTATATCTCCCTTTTTGTGTCTGATGAAATGAATCTCATTTACTTACTGTGCATGTTTTCATCGTAAAACCTAATAATTATTGCATGTTTTTGAATCTGACATCCCTTAACAAGTATATGGAATAATCATTATTTCTTACACACATCTTCATTATAGGTATGGCACTGTGAACAAACTACTAGGGGATGCTGTTCTTTCAAAACAAAAACTGAAGTATTTGTTCACTAACAAACTTCTTCTATACAGACACTTTAAACAGGTAATTGGTACTTTTTTCATTGTCTTTTATGTGTTTCAGTCAGTTTATATTTTTAAAAATGGCTGTAGCCTTGTAGGTGATACATTATTTTAATACTCATTCAGTTGTCATGAATTCGTGACTGTGATAGTTATGTAGGGTGAGATGAATAAGTGATGTTTCAACTTGTATAGTGCATTTAAAAAGGGATTGGGTTTCTCTTTGACACCTTTCCTAAAATTGGTTAAGATCTGTTGTTTCTCAGTTAATGCAGTTGGATTCTTATTAATTTCTAGGACCTGATATTACAGAACATAGTTGGGCACCTGGCAAGTTCCCATACAAGAAAGCCTCTGTTTATCCAGGTATATTTGATACTAAGGCTTTTGTTCGATTTTTTTTTTTTTTTGTTTACAAATGAGATGAGTGAGCAATTTAAATAACGTTTGTGTGGAATCCTTATTCATTTGTTAAAACTGGGGAGAAAATCATATACCGTGTGTGTGTTTAATGTGTGTGCATGTTTTCAAATCCCCATAATACAAACCTTTTTCTTGCCATTTTCAATACTTCGCTTCTTTCAACTTGCTTAATCTAGGTTCTTCAGACTCTTCTAGAAGTATGGGGAGACAGCAGTGCAGTGAAACACACGGCATATGAACAGCATCATTACATTTCCAGGGCAATTCTTATTGGCATAGGACTCTTGAGTGATAGGGATAAGGAACAGCATAAAGGAGGTATGAAACCTATCTGCACAGACAATACTGTGTGGAGGCATTTGTTTTGAACCAGGCATTTTTGGTAAAAATCTTGACATTGTTTTTGATGAGTTAGATTGGCAGAATGTGCATGTTGTGTATGTATCAGATTCATAGCACATAGAGAGATACTAATAATTGTGTTTGTATCAGACTCAAAGAAGAGAGATGTACTGTTTGTGTCTAGTTCTCACTTTGTGCATTGGTAAAATAATTTTTACCAGTGATATCTTCTTTCATCTAGCTGGTTAAAATCAGTCTGTTGAAGAGTGGCCTGCAACAGTTGACAAAATGAAAACTTTCAGCCATTTTAGTTTCCACACACTGAGGATAAGCAATAAATTCTAGGTGACCTTATATGGATAACAGTTAAATATAGTTTAAGCTTTATTGCTGAAGTCATTGGGTTTTTATATTGTGTGTGAAACATAAACATTTCAGTTATTAAGTAAAGTGATGATTCCTGTAGAGTATAATTTGAATATATGAGTATATTTGAATAAAATTGTGACCAAAAGACATGTTCATAAACATGTTCTGATTTGAAATATTTATATCCCTTCCATCCCAAGTAGTAGTTGAAGATTCATTAAAGATATTAATGAAAAAACTGTTCGTTTCTTTGTTTGCTTGTTTAAAGGGATAATAACTCTTCGTTTCTTCCAAAAAATGAATTTTCCTGGAGTAACCAACAATTTTCCCATACTTACCAATGGTTAATGAATCCATTTTTACATTCAAAGTAAGTCCCTGGTTTTTTTCTAAAAAGTTTGGTTTTTTGTTAAAATCTCTTAAGAGATTTTAACAGAGTATAGCCATCAATGGAGGTCACGTGGTCTAAAGACAAGCTCAGATATCAGAATAATAGCTATAACTGCCGTTTTTGTGGTGAAACAGAATATATTATATTTCTATGAGTTATTCACAATGTTTTTATTGTGAAATATAGATTTCATACGAAGAGTTATTATCCCTTTAACCTGTTGACCAGGTAATCAAAATGGTATTTCAGACTTAATAAGAAAACTGATGACCGGTGTCCAGTGTCACATAGACAACCAGGCCTTCAAAGTAAGACTCCTTGGTATGGTTGTGGCTGAGGCACTGACCACAGCTCTGGACCCCAAAGGACCCAAGTTAGAATTTGAGGTAGAAAATTTATCATATGTATGTAGTGTCTTTACTTTTGTTATATATATACACACTTTGTATGTGTCTGTAAATGGTCTTAACACTTGGTCTGTGTCTTCACCATCACAATCCAACACATCTGTGGTGTATTTTATAAGTACATATTTCTTTTACTTTCATTTACTGCACCTAAGTATTGTCACCATGGCTTGGTAAAAGGGCATTTTCTTTACTGAACGAATTCAAATGTTGATGTTTATAAAAAAAATTCATGTTAGTAAGTCTCTTTTCTAGAATCTTCTACCTTATTTTCAGTTGTGTTTCTTCTTGCAAAAGATGCTTGGGTGTAACTCTTCTGATTTTTTTAGATATGACTTTAAAACTTCTTTCTTATCTTGTTTTTAGTTCCACTTTCACTACTCAAGCATTCCTCAAGCAAATTGTGAAAGGCTGTTGTCTTATTTCAGTATGAGAAGACAGAAGAGGTGAACCACCTGCTTTCCCTAGTCACTCCACCTTCTGATCCAGGCTTAGTTGATATTCAAAGGTTTGCAGAAATAATCGGTTTTCATTTCTTTTTTTTTTTTTCTTTTTTTTTTTAATTGCCAAAATATGAATTTACTGTAAAGTTACTCTATGAAGAAAACAGTTTCTGCATTAGTGAGCCCAAATATTGAATAAAATTATTCAAGGTCAGAAAATTAATTGATAATCTTATTCAACATTTAATAATAAGTAGGTTTAAAATATTTATAATTTGATACCATGAAGTGAAATTTTTTTTTATTTTTATGAGTCGTTGTATTAATGATAGAAAATTTTTCCAGCAGAGATTTTCAAACAGTAACACTCGCTGAAAATGACTCTAAGGTGAAGGAAAATTGTTCCACAAAGGAGCAGGAGCAGATAATAGAAGCGGCAAATACAGAAGAACTTGACAGGTAAAACATAACAAAATACTATATCTTGAGATGTGTATGTTTTCCAGAATTAGGAAGCAAATGATGGTCTAGACTGAAGTCACACGAAATGTAGTTAGTTTATTTTATAGTCGCCAGGTGGCGACTAAGTCTATCAGCTTTTTCTTTTGCTATATTTTATACTGTTATAAGTAATCATATTTTAGGTTTCATGGAATGTGCATTGTGTAAAAGCAAGGCATTTTATTTTCTAATAAATAAATAATTAAACTTAAATGATGTGTGACTTAGGTTTTTTAAAAACTGCATTTAGATAGCACATACCATGATCAGTAATAGAAAATAAGAAAAATAAAATGAGAATTACAAAGCAGTCACTAAATGTCAAATTTTTAATCTATTGATTCTGTTAAGGTTTAGCGACTCTTTAAAAGATTCCAGTGAAAATGATTAGGAGCTGGAAAATGCAAAAGAGCCTTACCTCACAAAGTTAAAGATGCAGGTGCCCTTTTGAAATATACTTGACGTTAGTGTTTCACACCTGGGACTGACTTTCATGCACAAAAAGGGTATTTTCGTGTTATGCCATCTTGTTACAATGTATAAATAACACCTACTATGTCCCTGCTGTCATGACACTCGCTTGTTCATATGAGGATTACAGAAGATTGGAAATTCATATGCGTCACATATGAACTGAAAACAAAGAACCCCATTGCAACCACGCCATTATGTAAATCCTCGGTCACTCATTCCGGTATTCTGATGACCAAAGTAAGTTTGGTTATCTGTCTAAATAACTTTTATTCTGAACAGGCTTTTGGATTTATTTTGTTTCATCTGCTATGGATTTCAGTGATGATGACTTGGAGCCATATGATATGTCCAATGACGCACCAGTTACGAAGACAAAGGCCCCCAGATACGTGCGGGACTGCATGGAAGGTCTCATAACATCGGATGACCCAGAAAGAGTTGAGTCTTGTCTATGTGCTGCTGCTGATCTAATAAGATCCAATCCTGTTGGACTTAAAGAGGTCAGTTTTATATTGGTTCGATTATTATATGATAATACTGATTTAATTTTTAATTTTTCCCTTTGTGACAGATTTACTCAAATCCACTTGTCGTTATCACTTCGACCACTTTTTAAGTCAAAGATGGTAAGGAACTCTTTGTAAGAATGACACATAGGTAGTGCTTACAGAAGACCTTGGCATGGCAATAAAAAGGCACAGTGTTTAAGTAGCATTAAAAATCTGCTATACAAAAGTTATTACTATAGATTCTCATTGCAGATGGCCTTTGAAATCCAACTGCACTCGATCATAAAAGAGCCATATATATTAGAGATGAATTCTATTGTGCTATTTGTTTATTTGTTACATTTGTTTGATACATTAATTTACAAAAAATTATGTCTACAACACACTTGCATGTGTGCATGCATGCACAGGCACACGTGCACACACACATCAAGGCTAAGAGGGTTAGTCATTTGCTGATTGGATTTTCAGATAGCTGTTGAATTCATCAAGATCCTACTGCACCTCCAGGACTCTTTTACTTTACTAAACTTCATTTCCTTGCGACACAGCGCCATGGTTGCTCTGGGCGTATCTTGTCCTGTGGAGGTAGGTTGTTCTTGTTGCTAGTTATAATGACTGGCCAGTCTTTTTAAATTAAGTCAACCTTTATAAATTTAAGTAGTGGTCGAATCCAAGTGCAGAGAAGGATGGATAAATGGTTCGCAAATACGAAAAAATTACTCCAAATTGCCCTTAAACCATTAAAGAAACACAATAAAGTGACCTGCTTCTAGCCAAATATCAATTACAACACAATTTTGTTATATTCAGTAATGATCTTGCTTTATTACAATAGAGGATATGTAAAATGCATAAATAATTAGACCTTAAATGAAAATCAGTTGGTAAGATGTCTTTTGTATCTGTTGAAAGGTGTCTGATTGTTAGTTTCTGTAAAATAGAAAATATGATATTTTTCAGGTATCCGCCTATTTGACTAAAGAGTTCTACAGAAGAAACTATAACATAAGACAGAGAATGGATATGTTGGAGGTAAAGTGTACATCCAGGCTGGAACATCATTAATATAGATTAAAGTACACTAAGAAAATACATCTTAGGCAAGGGTTAAGATACACCCCATTTCCATAGATTTTTAGATCGATCTATCCCTGTGGGGAGTCTCACTAGATTACTGTCAGCTTGGCCGGCTTAAGTGTCTGTCCCGCCTACTAAAAGCTGTAAGGGGGTAATTAACTATGGTGCCCGCTCTGCTGACTGCAATTTAGCGTGAACCCCCAGGGAGTTGGGTCGATCTAAATCTTAATCTTTAGATCGATCTAAATCTCTGGGAAAGCACCCATAGTTTTGGTTTTGTTCAAAGTTAATATTCAGTATAATGTACAAATGTTACTGGTCAAGATTTTCAATTTCATACAGTTAATGATTTACAGATGCCTGCGCGTGTGCACACACACATACACACTCACACACTATTTTATAATAGATTTAAGTCAATTCACAGTATTATCCCCTCAGTAACATATTTTCCACATTAATTACAATTTCAGTTCTCAGTCTTTTGGAGGAGGAGATACTATGGAGTCAAATAGTGTATATAGTGTAAGGTGTATTACCGGTATATTACAGGTACTTGG